GTGTTGGGGGGCAGGGAATGGGGTCCATGCGTTGATCACTTAATGAATCCCTCTGAGTATATGTTGCAGCACAAAGCAATTGCAGGATGTCTTTACAAATCAGTTAGACAGAAAACGGAAAGTGACTGTAGTCTCAGATACAGTTAAACAAAAACATCACTGCACACTTCTTGCCTGGCTTATATGGAAACAATCAATCAGGTTATTCATCAGGGAATGAGAGACATGTTCAGCCTTCAGTTTCCAAAAAGAAACTAGCAACATTCAAGAAGAAACAGCATTTTGGAGAGAAAACTTCTGATTCTTTGCTGTTTGTTTCCTTCCAGGCACAAAGCTAGCTAAGGTATTAGTTCATCTAGAAGAATTCTGATCTGGGAGAGAGTTTTGATGAAGACTTTACTGACAGCAGAAAACCAGAAATCATTTCCCAGATATAGAAACAACACTTCTCCTCCATGTATCCTCCCTGCAGGAGGTAAAATAGAATCTCACCTTCCCCAACTGTGATTTTTCAATATAATAAATCCTTTGGAAACTGAATTAGACTTTACAGAATATGGTATGCAAGGTTCCAAAGTAAAGCCCCCAGTTCATCTCCTGGGAGTATTTCAGAACTTATTTAATGCTGTATAAAGTAGAGCTACACAGATCTCTAGCAACTTACAAATTCTGGTTGAGGATTGGGCCTATACTATACAAGCCACTTTACTCAAAAAACAAAGATGACAATCCCCAAAGAGCTCACAATCTACATAACAGAACAGGATGCAACGGGAGATCAAAATAGGCTAGTAGGTGGGATGAATCTATACAAAATTGTATAATCAGAGAAGGCAGAATAGAAAAAGATTAACAGGATCATTAAACATACCCTCATGAAAGTGCAAGGCAGTTCTTCATTGTGCTGCTTGAAACCCGCCAGTTCTGAATACTGCAAATTTCATGAACCCATATTTACTGATTATTTTTACTGTTTCTATTGTGGTGGCACCCAGGGGCCCAGTCATGATGTTGATGCCTTGCAGCCCCATTGGATGCACATGTAGCTTGGGCTTGTATATTACCTAAAATTCTGGAGTGGATCTGTGTAAATAACAGCAAGGTTTTCTAGTAAACTAGCAAGTGTCACTCCAGTACTTCTCTCCCCACAACTCAGGGGACCTGGGGTTTAATGTGGCCTCCTGCACTCCTACAACACTAATAGCTACCTATAACATCCTGCAGGCAGCCAAGAGTCTGAAAAGGTTCATTCACTCTTCCCCGTCCCCTGCATATTTTTGATGGTTATCCCATGTCTACAGAAGAGTTTGCCAATTTTCTTCTGATTCTGCAACAAGGGAGCATAAGATCCTGTTGCCAATACCTGATTTCTCCTGGGCCCCTTGATTCCCATACAGTCTGCAGATGCAGAAGGTTTTCCCTGTGCTACCATACAAGGATTGTGGGCCTATACTAGGTGTGGGCAGGCAGGACACCAACCTCAGGCACCACTTGAGAGCGGGCAGCTGTGCAGAGCTCCCTTGTGTGCAGGGAGCCCATATGGCAGCAGCAGCCCCCACAGTGAAAAGAAAGAGACTCTTGTCACAGAAGCCACAGCACCTGCCAGGGTCTTTTGACTCCAGTAAATTCTTCCCTGCCCAGCACCCATCTGCCTCCCCCCGCCACCAAATGTGCCCAAATTCCCAGTTACACCTCTGTTGAGGCATCTCAGGCCCCATCACCAATGACAGTAGGGACCTCTCTGGTACTAGCACTTCAGGATATGAATGAAGTGATTTTTCTGTATCAAGATGATCCTTTCTGGGACTGAGAATGTGTGATTTGCCAAGCAATCCCCAAAAACAACAGGGAACACCTACAAGATACCTCCACCCAAGAATGAAGTACCAGTTATCTATCAAGAAACAGAAGATTGATTAATAAAAAGAAGAAAAGAGCTAGCCCTATAAAGGCAGCATATGGAATTTCAGCCAAATTTTTACCAGAGTACACATTTTGGCACGTATTTTTAAAAGTTGCAATGAAACCCGAGACAAACCAATTTTCAAATATTAAAGTAATGACAAAAACCTAGCTTATTCTTAACTTTTATGGACTGTCTGGTATAGATAAATAAAGTATAATGAGTTCTACTGGGAGTTTTTGCAAAAACCTCACATTAAACACTACTCTCGTGAACAAAATTTCAGAAGTGCATTTAGATATATGATTTCATCAAAAAAAAACTATTTAAAGTCTTTGTGACTTATTTAAAAATTACTTGATGTGCTAATATATTTTCAGATGACATTGTAATCTGGAAGATTTAATTTAGTCCATCTGGACCTTGATCAGAAAAGTCTACATCTTATAAAATTATCATTGATTAGGAATGAAGTGCTTGATTAAACTGTGCCTAAGAACATTAATAAGTGTGTATAAAATATCAGAGCAAGTGCTTTTTATTACTTCCAAATAGTCTCAGTAAATGCCTCTGTATCAATTTTTTTTCCTAGAGAAACAGCATCACCTTCAGGCCACAAAAATATTTTCATTGCATGTAATTTTCTAATCAAAGGGGATTTAAAAATTACTTTCCAATGCATGACATGTTGGTATTTAGTCCGTCCCCAGAGCACAGAACATAAACAATGTTATGACAATTTAAAATATTTTATTTTACATAATCAAATTAACAACAGGCCCATTTCTTACGTAAATGGTTCCACTGGAGTCTCAAATGAGAAAGGGGTACAAAACAAGTCTCTAAAGGGAATAGAAACTGAAAAAGCATAACCAAAAATAAAATGCAACACAGAGATAGACTTGTAAGAAAAGCAAACATATTAGTACGTATATACACATGGTCATAACTTCCTATGGTGGTATTGGATTTCCCTCCTACATACTTGCAAACCTAGAGTATCCCAGTTAAAGACATTGGAATTGTTTGGATATTCATATAACACTTTATTGTACATTACATGGCATACAATAAAAGGGTTTACAGATGCAATATATTTGCTGCCACCATACTACCAGTATTCAATTATTTTCCTGTATTAGTTGAAATCAATAAATGAAGCAAAAAGCTTTTGTTTGAAAAAAACTAAAGGACCAGAAATGTACATAACTAAAACAGCAATGGGCAGTTTTCTTGCTAAGATACCACATGCTAAAGAGGCAAGGCCAGATAATTCATAGATTCATAGATTCATAGATTAAGGGTCGG